ATTTCTTCGAATTAAAACAAACACTTGACTATTTAAGCTGAAGGATGCTCGAGCCCGATAAAGCAAATGGGACTACCCACGAGGCCCGAAGGCAACAGAGATTTAAATTCAAACTGTCTATTTAGTTTGAGAGGCCATTTTTCTTCAAAAAAGAAGAAGAAAGATTTGTATTTACAAAATGTTTTGTACAGAAGCGGCGAAAACGCCATCAGAAGTTATCCGATTCAAAGCATGTTGGGCCTCGTTGAAAAGACAGGAAGCCCCTCCGCATTCATCACTGATTGATCTTCTCCGGTCACCAAAGACCGAAGGTAACTAACAATTCCCACCGGGGAAGAAAAAATTCGGGTATCCTCGATAAAGTCGGGGATTATAAAGACACATAAGATGATCGAGCATTACATACGTCATAGTCGGGATCGATAAAAACATCAGTGTATATCTGATCGAGCTGCTGGGAAATCATATCGTTTCTCGCCACATCCTTTTTCGAGAAACGAGGGGACTATCTGTATACGGTCGAAATAGATTTCGACCTTCCTACGTTCGATCGAGTTCGAGTGTTAAGAAGTTGGAATGAGATTTTGGGAGTGAGTTCTGAGGTCGGTACTAACGAACCTCGAGCCCGAAGGTCGCTCGAGGAGGCAGCTCGATAATTCTATCGAGCCCGTGACCGAATCGATCCGCAAGGCACTGCTTCGAGGTCGAAAATGCGCGATACCCATCTCGAAGGTCAAACTCGATCCAAGATCGAAGGGCCCGACCCAGTAACTAGTTCGAGCTAGTATCGAGCTCACAGACAAGAGCCGTTGCAACCACACCAACAAAGAGAATCTTGGCGGGAATCAAGGAAGAGACAAGTCATCATGGGTCTTCCACTACATGTTTTATTTTATTGTTTTTTGGTAATGACCCTCTTCTATAAAAGGTGGAATCCTTGTAAGCTAGGAGGGAAGATAAAAAAAAGATCACTTCCTCTAGATATTGATAGTAATCCCTTTGTGCTTGTTTTACTTATTCATTCTTTTTGCTTATTATTTTCGTTCTTATAGACAACAATACACATATTTCCATTTCTCCATGCGATTTATATCAAATTGTATTGCATATTCTTAGAACCATCCACAAATCTAACGTTATTCAATTTTTCCGGTAAATAATGAGTCTGTTGTGCGTACTCGCTATTCTCGTTATTGAATTTTATGAGTTGAACTGAAGTACTAATAAGTAAGTTATACAAACATGCAATTCCTACTGATGACTTTCCTTCTGTATTTATAGATAATTGTAGGATTCTGCAATCTACTATTTATGCCAAGTGATATCTGCTTTTGAAGGAAAAAAGATTCAAAGAAAAAGAGTTCTTAAAAGTGATGAAGCAACTCTATGAAATGTAGAGATATAAGGATCTGCGCCTACAAATTGTGATAGTAATAGGGTTGAGAAGGAGAATATATGAGTGCGCACTTATGCGTTGGCTTTGCAAAAGGAGTAGGAAGACGGGTCGGTAAAAATTTATCCAGTATTTAAAATTTATAACAAACTAATAAATACAAAATGTATTTTTCGTACACATATTTGTCGCTTCAATATATTTTAAGCGGCATAAAGTAAACTTAGTGAATACATATTTACTACCAAAAGTCCGTCGAAAACACGGGAGGAATATAAGAAGCATCAGGCAAACTTCAAAATCTTAATCAGATTCCAAAATATGTTCCCTCTGTTTTAAATTATATGACACATTTTTCTTATTAGTCTTTTAAAAAAGAATAATATATTTTTACAATTAGAAATAATTTAACTTTAAATTCTTCATTTTACTCATTTTATCCTTAATGAGAAGCTTTTATAATCACACAAATGTCATGGTCTTACAAAATCTTTACCCCTTAAGATTTTAAAATCTTAAATTTCAAAATTAATTTTTTTTATTTTTTTTAATTTCGTAACGAATCAAACTAATTCATCTAAATTGAAACAAATGAGTACTCATTTATAAATACAATAATAAATGGAAAAATGCATTCAATTTGTGAAGAGTGAGAAAATGAGAGTAAAGGAGAGAAAGAGACAGAGAGAAAGAGATGGAGCCCTGACCCAATCTGTCGGTCCTCCTCCTCGGTTTCTTCGCCTATGCAAAAAGGACGCGCCAAACGAGGGTCCATGTTCAGTTTTCCTTTGTGTTTTCTCTAGTCAAATAGTTTCCTTTTCATTTTCTTTTGGAGTCGTTTAAATTCAAAAGCTCATATGCTTTGGAGAATTCAAGATTCTACCTAGTTGTGTTGTCCTTAAATCACTTCTCCACACTCAATACTCCTCTTTGTAACACAAGTTTTAATAATATAAAAATGTATGTGTTCTGAAATTTATCTCAAACCGATTTAAGTATATAATAATTGTCTTATATAGTAGATGCAATCACACTGTTATGTGATATAAACCCATGGTCATATAAGGAGAACTAACAACACGACAACTCATAATAAACATATGAAGTTTAATGTTATACTAATATTTTCTCCATTATCGGGTATCTCAACAACTCAACTACTCTTCTGACTTAACTGTGTGGCCTCATTAATTTCTGCCTGTACCTTTTTCCCTTTCTTTCTTTCTCACTCTCTCATCATTATCGAACATATTAAGGGTCGTTTGTTAAGATGTCTTCCAGAAAATAATGCATGTATTAATTTTTGTTATTATTAATTTTTTGTTGGTGCACTTTTTCATCCTATATTATTACTTACACACAGAGGCGGACCTACATGGAGATAAGAGGGGTCACCAGGATCCGTTAGCCTCGACAAAAACCGTGTATATATATTTGTATATACATTAAGAATCCCTCAAATAATTTTAATGTGCCCCTCAAACAGAAAAGTTGAACTGCTCCGTTGGTTTAATAAGTTGCATTATGTCCTCCTTCACCAGAAGACTTGGGTTCGAGGCCCAACACCAGTTCTGTTTGCATTATCACTTTTTTGACATGTATAAAATTAAGTAATTCACCAAAAATTTCCCCAAAACAGTAATTAAAAACTCCAAAAATCCTTTTGCTTTCAAGGATCACTTCAGCAAGTAGCGAACATCTATCGATTCAACGATAGTGACTGAGACTCTGCTTGGATTGCTTAATAGACATTTAATCTTGATCTTATTTGATTAAGTTTTTTTATATTTTTGAACATCCTTTTGGTCACTGACTCATATTCATTAAGTTTTCAAGGAGTTAGTATGCCAAATTTTATCGTTATTAGCTGACATATCTATGTCAAAGATAACGATGCCCCCGTTGCGCTCAAATTCTGGGTCCGCCTCTGCTTACACAACCTATTTGATACTATCCTATGTATAACTAATAGATAGCAAACCATAATATTAGCAATACCAAGGATATTAATGCATGCATTAGCATGGTTAGAGACAAAATTTTCCTTAAAATCCCTTAGAGCTAAAGAATATGAAGGGCATTTTATAAACAACTAATTTTTTTTAAAATTATGCAATACATTTTAATTTATAGTAATACGTTGTACCAAATGAATAAAAATAATCTCTGCATAATTAGTGCTTGCATTACTAACTCATGCATTATTAATACACCTTATTCAACACGATTGTTATATACCCTTATCAAACGAGCGTTAGTATAGTTGTCATCTCTTAGCTTCCTCTAAACACGAGGTCTTTTAGTTTAGTCTTTGTTGACCAAGCAAAATCAGCTACATATAGCTAGCTAGTTTACATGCCTTCTTGGATTCATGTGCTACTTTGATAGAAGAACCGGGTTTTACTGTAGGGTTCAGAAAGGTGACACAATTAGGGGCGTACTTAAATCGAATCAAATCGATAATCCGAGTCAAATCAGAGAAAAAACTCGATGTGATTTAGTTTAGTATTGAAAAATAAAACTCGACTATGGTTTGGTTTTAACTAAAAAAAGTCAAATTGAAACCAAACCAAATCAACCCGATATTACATTTATATAATTTTTAAAAATATTTATACATATAAATATTTATTGTAATGTAATTTATAAATATTTCTTAAACTTTTTCACAGTTTTATCTTTTAACGTATTATTTCAAGTTTAGACTTAACATTCTTGAATGATACATAAATTTTATAGCTCATAAATGTAGTAACTCAAACAAAGTTTAAATCAATACTAATGCTAACAAAAGAAATTCAATTCAATACTATGAATCACAATAGTGTTGGATAATTATTTTAGTTTTACATTGGTTTATAATGAAAGTGCATAACTTAGTTTATCTTTTTCTTTAGTGTTTAGTTATGTAATTAATATTAGTACTCATTAGCTATACTTATTTTAGCATGACCTATATAGTATTTTTAGATTTTGTTAATTTTTATTATGGCTTATTAATTAGCAATATTTATTTTATATAATTTTATTATTTTATCTTTGTTATTGAATATTTCAGTATATTGCTATGACTTATCTCATATTATTGTATTAGTTTTTTAGAAAACACATTATATAGTTGTATTTTACTAGGACTTAAGAAATATTTGGAGCACAAGTTACATATTTTATGCTATGAAGGTTTTATCGGAAAAAAAACGAAAACCCGAAAAATTCGAGAAAAATCGAGATTGAAAATCCGACTTTGTTGGTTTGGTTTACAAATTTAAAAACCCGACACCATTGATTTGGTTTGATAATTAAAAAATCCTAACCAACCCGACTTATGTACACATCTAGATACAATTATTAATCATTTAGTATTCATTTTTGTAGCAGTTGATATCTATAATTGACAAGCTGCACCGTCCGTTCACTCTGTTAGCAGGATTACGATGGTGAAATGATTATAAAGTATTAATCAAACGCAAGCTAAGAAGTGAAGATATTTGTAAAGAAGGAATTTTTAGAATTCAAAATAAACAAACATTTAGTGAGTAAATGGTTAGGTCATTTAAGAAACCCCAGCTGGTAAGGTCAGACTCTGCCCCTAGCTTTTGTCCTTTTTAAAGTTGGCCTCTTCAACTCTATTTTTACCCCTTTGTTATAGTCTCCCCAGAACAAATCATTTTCTTCATCATCACTCACTCACACTCTCTGTCCCTTTCATATTTCTCTCCTATCTCCCTTAAAGAAAGGCGAGACTTTTGGAGGGGTAAAGTACCACAAATTTTGAGAGAGATAAGTATCACAAACACAACAAATCTAAGGAGATTATTATCAAAGGAAAAAGGAAGCTTTTCTATTGTGGGGAATGTTGTTTGGCTCGAGGATTCTTCAATCTTGATCAAATTCTTTCTATTTTTTATAGATCTGCATATTAATATAGATCTATAATATTGAATCATGATTTTGGTGTCGTCGGACCAGGCTTCATTCCCCTCAAAGATTGCTACCGTAATCCTTGCTCACTCATCAGACATTCAGACTAGACCCTAATTTTCGCGATTTCTAATATTGTTGTGTATTCAGGGGTAAGTCTCATCTCCTAAGTATTGTTTTGTTTTATTTGTTTCCGTTGAATTTTTGAAGCTTTTGTTTGTCCGTTGTAAATCAATCCTTTTTTTGGTGTAATGATGAAACATCTTGACTTTTAATTTAGGTTTTGCATTTTTGTTTCAAATCCCAACCTGAAAAAAGTTTCATCATTACAGCCCCTTTTTGGCCATGCTTTGTGTGTTTCAATTGTCAGTAAATAGTCATGGTCTTATGATTGTGGTCATGATGATGGCTTTTTTGGTAGTATCTCTTTCTGCAAACATTCAGATCTGGATTCTGCCTTTCAATTTTCTCCGAATTCCTTTCTCCCTTTTTTATTTTCTCCACAAATACTTGTCTCTCTCTTTCTTAGCAGGTGTTTTTCATAGATTGGGGTTTATCTTGTCAAGAACGTACCTTTGCTAAAAATCGAGCTTTATTCTTTCTATATATATGAGTTAATACATTCATATTAGGCTGAAACTAATATTTGTATCCATTGCATTTCTGTCTGATACATAAGTACAGTCCAGACACATATTTTGCAACTGGGTAGCCTATATACAACTTTGAAAAAATGTAGCACAGTTATAAAAGATGAGTAGTGTACAGCTTAATTTTTAAGATGCACAGTTTTTGAAGCATGGTTTTATAGTAACTCCTACTATCGTGCAAGTTAATTTTGTTATTGTAACCTTTTTTTTACAAATAAATTTGATAAGTAGATACTTGAGTAAAAGAAGACGAAAGAAAAAAAAAAGATATGTTAGTAAAAGATGATCGAACGCACGTTGTGAACTTGAGACATGTCGATATTGGAAGCTAGGTGTGATGGATTTCGTTCTAGCTAGTGCTTGAAAATAATATTTCAAAGTTTGTATATTCTTGTTACTTGTGTGGATATGTTCTATATTATAGGGTATATAACTTCAATCACAGAGATCAATTTCGTATATATAGCTCAAAATTAGACCGTGTTTTCCAAAGATCTTTTTCACATATTTAAAATTAAGAAAACCAGACTTTAATATGTTTTTATCCAGGTATAATCTTCAAATGACTAACAGGCTGAGTTTACCAGAAGATGGAAACAGAAAGGAGTCTTTTGCTGTAATGGGATATTATAAATAGATGATGCATTTTGAAGATTACTTTTGGTTTGAAGTGTCTTGGCTTTAACAAGTAACTGGAGCTCATTACTGATACATATCCAGCATCAATCTAAACTCATTTTTGACGTTGAATCTCAGTTCATGCATGAAAGGTTAATTCCTTCATAAATACTACGATTTTAAAAAAATGACTGGAAAAACAGCATATTAAAGATATTGAGGGTTAGATAGATACACTTCAAAAGAGAAAAGAAAATATATGTTGACCTCTTGGAGCTAAATGAGATGTGATGTCTTACACGTGAATGTAGGTTTTGTGAACTTACTTCCTCTTGCTTATTAGGGAAAAAACAAAAGATAAAAACAAAGTTGCCTGTTGAGAATTCAATGCTTTTGCCCATTCTATCTTCACGGAAAACACAGAAAAAGAGGAACACCTAAACTTTTTTACCTTTCCCCCACCATATTTGACACCACATGTCTCCTGCTAGAGAGAACATATAGACCCAGGAGCGGATGTAGCTCGCGACAGGTTTATTCCAATCTAATATATATATATATATATATATATATATATATATCAAATTAATAAATCATGGATCCGTTTTTGCATGGATAATGGATACCTTTGGTCCTGAAAGTGAATACACAACAATAATAGGTTGAAAATTTTGTTAGTTGTGAGAATATTAATAATTTTTCCTACAAATAATGTGTTTAATGTTGAGCATCATTGACAAACCTATATTAGAAGAAAAGTTAGCAAAAAGCTTTCAAAATTATGAGATCAAAAATAGTTGTCAGATATTAATAATTTTTCTCATGTATGTGTTTAATTTAATGTTTAACGTCATGAGAAACCCACAGCAAGTATATAGTTATTGAAAAAAGAGGGTATTGCGTATGATCTCTAGACTTTATCTGTATTTCAATTTCATTTTATATACTCCAATAAGTTAGATTTTGCGAAATAGTGAAACGCAGTAATTTCAAGTTTGTGGTGGTAGATTCTACTATTCTGTGGACCTGGATTTAGTGAAAGAAAGAAAGAAAGAATTGGGATCTTTATATCTTTACAGTAAAATGGTCATTCATCTTGTCTATGCAAAACTCAACCTGTGAAGTCATTTATAATCTTCACCTTGGAAAACTAATAATGGCAGTGTTAAGAAATCGTAAGAACAGTGATTGATACGGAATACTGTTTGTGGAGATGGAATCTTTTTGTCTTAGCAAATCAATAAAGTGGAGGCTGTACGTTGGCGTTTGCTTTTGCTTTTGCTTTCCTCATTTTCCACAAACAAACATACAAAAGTTTGCATGGTTTTGATAAATTCTCTGTTAGTCCCACTCAATTATTAATAAAATAATGTTACTGCCTCGTTGACTATTTCCTTATATGACTCGTTACTTCGGAAACAACTTACGATATAAAAACATACTACTACTATTATTCAATTCACTCCTTTTTTTTTTTTATAAGAATATTACTGATATTAAGCTAAAGATATGTCTTATTGAACCTATTTGACTGTGCATAGAGTTTAAGAAAAAAAAAAAAGACTTTTAAAATTGTGGTGTAAAATGAGGTACATATATTTTGTGTGAGTATAAATCATTGTATAAAGATAAATTATTTTCAAATAAGAAAATGAGTTATTCTTTTTGGCACGAATTAAAAAAGAAACAAGTTCACATAAATTAAAACGTAGAGAGTACCAAAGTACCTATTTGAAACTCAAAAACTTTCGAACCCCCTCAGCCTCCTATTTGTCTGTTGGAACTCTCTTTTCCCCTGAAAAGCTTGAGTTTGACTTGCTCTTCCTCTCGCAAATTGCGTTGCTTTAAATATTTTGTGCAAGTAATATCCCTCACAATTTCAGAGCTAGGACTAATTGAATAAAGTAAGTACAATTTATGTCTTCTACCATTTTGATCATCATGTGAAGTATATTGTTGAAGGAACGTCCTGATGAATCAAATGTCAAGTTTAATTTACCGGTGATCATTCAAAAAGTTTATAACAAAAAAATTACTTTTTTTTTTTGTAATAAAAAAGTCATCTAACTCAAAGTTTATCCTACAAATGTTATTTTTTTTAAGTCATTCAGCTTTAACAGAGTTAACTAAAATAATCTCTGTTGTTTAAATATTTTTGCACACCGATTGAAATTATCTTTTGAATGCGCATTAATGGGTCTCCGAATGTAAATATTTCTTCCTGCTTGGAGTGTTCTGAAAATTCCCCTTGTAACTAATGCACTGAACGCTCAAAAGATGCCTTTCTTTATCATTCTCTTTTAACCTGTATTCTTTTACCACCAAATGATATGGTGGAATGAGCGAGATTCTTTCCTCCTTAGTTAGAACTTAGAAGTAGAAAAAAAATTCAGAGTAAAAAGTGCATTCTTCTTTAATTACCCCTATGCGGTGTGAACCAGCATAATTAGAGCAGAGGATGCCAATATGTAGGTGTGGCAAACGGGCGGTCGGCTCGAAAAGAGATAATATAAAAACGGATAAATTATTCGACCCGATCCATATTTAATACGAATACAAAATGGGTTAATAAGCGAATAATATGGTACAATATGATTAATTTTGAGAGAATTTCTGGTTTTTCAAGCTCGAGGAACCCCAATATGAGTCTTTACAAATGTAAAAGTTAAACTCGTTAGTATCCATTTATTATCCATTTTCTAAGTGGATAATATGGTTCTTATCAATATTTGATCCGTTTTTAAAAAGTTTATTATTCAACCCATTTTTAGTGGATAATATATATGTACAACGGCGAAACCAGAAATTTTTTCCAAGCGTGTTCAAAATTTAAAGAAATAAAACAAATCTCGACAAATGATGTTTAGTATGTGTTATATACCTTTAAAATTTTACCACCACTGCTAATATGTGATGAAGTTCTTTCAATTGAAAACTTAAGTTAATGCGGCTGCACCGCCGTTTGATTGTCTTAGATCCACCATGCTCTTCCATTGTATTCGGGGTCCAAAATTTTCGTCCTGAATGGTTATGCTTTAACTTTCAAGCAGTTCTCTTTTAACAACCAAAGCATTGTTGACGATTCTTTTCCTTTCTCTCTATATATAGTAAGACCAAAATCAAGTTAGCTTTTGTTCATTTTTTTTTCTTGTGAATGATAACGAGTTAAAATAAAAGACCCGAGAAATTCCTTGGCCTTTGTGTTTTTAGAATACCTGAATACAGGGCCGGCTGGAGCCTAAGGCCACTAAGGCAATGGCCTTAGCCCCCAAANATTTGTAATTGTGAGGTTTTCTATTGAATTCAAATATTATGTTTCAAACTTATAAGAAATTGTAATTTATTCAGATTGTCGGTTTGCCTAGTATTGATATAGGCGCCATCACGACATGCGAATTTTGGGTCGTGACAATAAATTTGGCAATAAATCTGGCTATTTTTTTATTTTTTCCCGCCAAACAATCTATCTATCTATATATATATATATATATATATATATATATATATATATAATATAATTGTGCACTATTGATAGAATCTTTAAATTATTTGGTTAAAATAGTTATAGCTAAAAAATTTTACACATCTTAAATTGTAGTTACTAGTTGTTTCCTGTCTTTAATTCATCCCCACTTAAATCTTCTTACAATGTTAGCTTAGAAGAATTTTTTTTTAATTCTTTAAGTGCCTTTGTAGATATTTTGCAAGCTACTCTGATAAGTAACTATTTAATTTCTTCCTTAATTTTGAATGACTCTTGAAACATAGTAGTAACTACAATATTATTTGTTTCAACTTATATTTAGAATTAAAAGTGTTAAGAGAAACTGTATAAGTAGAAGAATACTCTAATTGGCAAACTCAATCAAGTAAAAAGTGTTAATTCAATTATCGTTAACAATTCGATAGAGTTGGATTAGAAGAATCAACCTGCGGGGTAAGCCTTTTTACGTGTGCGCATTATTTAAGATTTGATGCAGAACACGTCGATCATTATAAATTCACGAATTAGAAATGCCGATTTGCGACAATACATTACTTCAGATCAGATTTGTGTCAATCCCTCTATTCACAGAATGCGACTGGATCAATACATGTATGAACACTAAAAAAATTTCCAAGGTACATGGTAGTGGTCTAGGGAGCGCAATTGCTAGAGTCAAGAGCGATCGAAAAGTGAAGCCCCAGTCGAGACAACGGCGGGTTCTCTGCCCCTGCGGGGATGGAGCGACAATTTTTTTTTTGAGAATTCAAGAGAATATCACGGCGAGACGAGCCGCGAAAAGGCTTTTTTCTGGTGTTCCCCGTAAGTGGTCTAAGTCAGCTGCCTTTTGACTTTAGTTACGGGCTTACATGCTTCTTTCCTTCCACCGCGAGTTCAACTCCAGTCTTAGGTTAAATGCAGAAGAGACGTCAGTCCCGCTGCACCTCGAGGTGCATTTAGTTGTCTTACATGATGCGATAGAAAGCGAAAAAATGAATTGATTAGTTGTTAAAGGGCTTTTGCTTTCTCGGTAAATATCTTGGTAGAAGATATGATTTCTTAGAATTGAGATTTAAAGTTTTTAGGAGATTCCCGAGAGTTCGACTAACTAAGATGACACTCCTCTTCCCGCCGAGCACCTTTTCTCCTCGATCTTGTGATGACCCGATATGTCATTTATAATTTTAACATTAAATTTTGTGTTTCAAAATCTCGATTAGCTCCGTTTAGCCTTCCTCCATTTGCGTGAATGGTCCATGTCTTTTTCCCGAAAGATTTTTCTGTGAAAACTTGACAAAAATGCGAAACCGTGCCTTAAAACTCATTTGAGTTGACTTCGGTCGTGCCAAGTTGGTATCATAGAACTAGGTTGCCTAGGTCGGACGAGTCACGAGCAAGCTTAGTAGAGTCTGGAGGATTGGTATGGAGACGTCTGTACTTATCTTTCATAGGCTATAGAGTTTAGGAAAAATGTCACTTCTTCCTTACTCTGTCGTGCGATTTTTATTCTATCATTGTTGATTGAACCCTTCTATTCTTGTTCTCTCGCAGATGGAGTGAACACGCACTGCATCTACTATCGTACATGAGCCAGAGCCCCCTGTGGCAGCT